ACGGCTTAAGTAAACGTACTCGAGTATCAAGAGTACAAGAGTACATTTTCTAAATATTGCATTACTACTGCCACAGTGCTTACATTTCTGGACAGAAACGTCCTACATTGAGTTAAGAAAAATGTTAAAGGGATACTCCACTTTTTTTGGAAATAGGCTCATTTTATAACTCCCTCAGAGTTAAACAGTTGAGTTTTACCTTTTTTCGATCCCTTCAGTCGATTTTCTGATATTAAGAAGAATATCAGTACGTCATGGACCACAGTTTGGGAATCGCTGGTCTGGAGTATAGTGGTATAAAATTAACACTTTAGCATCTTGATTCGAATTTGTATTAGTATTATTTAATGATGTAATTTGTGTTTTAATTATTTCAAAATTCAAATAAAGGTGAGCATCGACGACACCTGCATAACTACAGAGAGATCTTCCTGAAAGATAGTTAGTTTAGACAGCTTCATTCCCCTGCTGTTAAGAGACTGAATAAAGCGATTGTTTCATAAAACACACCTGCTCAAGGGCTTTGAAGCCAGATAAAGGGATTTCCCCTAATGACACCATCTGAAATAAAAAGAGTGTTTCACTTCAGCCTCTGGAGTAAAGGAGTCACCACGTGCTCAGATACGACTCTTTTTGTGCTGTGCTTCAGCTGAATCCCTATTGCGTGAATATATCTTCCTCCATCTAATTTGACATTTAATCTTAACTGCGTGATCTTGGCACATTGATATATGCACCTTTCATCGTACTGTTGTTGTTTCTTCATTTATTTTACAGACTTTTTATCATTGAATCATTCTCTCAGCCAGCCTCTTCTTTCGAGAAAACGTGTTTCTCCAAAGCTCAGTGAAGAGGAAAATACAAAGTCAGAAGTTTATTTCTCTCAGACTGGTTTCGCTGCATGCTCTGCTGAGCAGAGAGATGCCTGAGCCACTGGTCATGTTGGCAGGTGTGTGCAGCTCGGCACATCAGCATCAGTTGGCTTCTTTTACTACCCATCAGAGCCATTGTGCTCTTTGTCAATCAATTGTGCACTCCTTTGAGCAATTACCACAATTTATTCCACCCCGGATGCACCTTGCATATTGTAAACACTGCACACAAATCATTTTTTTGCTCCTCCGAAGATGGAAGTTGTATTTGTGTGTCTATAAAAAATGACAGGCACAGGAAATTTGTTCACAGACGCAACCTTGAGCAGGTAAAAATGTTGCACTTGTGTGACATAAAATACACCCGGGGTCTTTACATAAAATTTTTTTCTACCATTATTTCGGTTGTGAAACGAACATCAAAAGGCTTTTGTTTCACTAAAATAGACTATGATGTGATACAAATGGTGTTATAATAAATATAGACAAAATAAATATAATAATAACTTTATAATATAAAATATAAACTTTATATACATATATATTTTTTAATGTTCATTGTCAATGGACTGTCTTGTCTTTATTTTCTCAGAGAAATTGCTACATCTAGTGGACAGTTAAAACACAGACACTATAGGCACTAGGCCTACTGGATAATCAGACTGTTGCATTGGTACCAGGTCAGAAGGACTAAATCACTTATAAAAAACACAAGTATTTTTACACAAATAAAATATCTGTAAGCATCCAGGAAGCCACTGCATTTAAAAAACAAATATTGGACTTGAAGATAAAAAAAGGTCACATAATATTTACTTCTGTCATTAGAACTGCAGTCTTTGTATGACGCAAAAGGCCTCCAACTCTTAACCCTCTTATTGCATTCGGGTCCATTTTGACCCGGAAGAGGTACAGAGGTTTTTTTTGTTTGTTTTTTTAATTAAGCTTAATTATTTTTACTTCAAATTTTACAAAGATGAGATTTGTAAATGTGTTAATGCTGTCAAAATACACATCATTATTTATTTTCCAGACTTTTTTGACAAAAATGTAAGAGATTTAAAGGAGTAGTTCACTTTTTAAAAAAACCTTTGCTGATAATTTACTCACCCCCATGTCATCCAAGATGTCCATGTCATTCTTTCTTCAGTCGAAAAGAAATTAAGGTTTTTGATTAAAACATTCCAGGATTTTTCTCCATATAATGGACTTCAATGGGAACCAAACGGTTCAAGGTCCAAAAGACACTTTCAGTGCAAACTGCAAACTGTTCAAAGGCTTTAAACAATTACAGACGATGAATAAGGGTCTTATCAAGCGAAACGATCGCTCATTTAAAAAAAACAAGATTTGTTTATTTTGATAAACGAGTTCGAATAGGAGAGTCCCAAAGTGCACCACAGAACAGAGCAGGCCGAGCATTTGTGCTTATAAAACTGAAACTTTGTTTTTTTTTTGTTTTTTTTTTTTAAAATGAGCGATCGTTTCGCTTGATAAGACCCTTATTCATCGTCTGGAATCGTTTAAAGCCCTTTGAACAGTTTGCAGTTTGCACTGAAACGGTCTTTTGGACCTTGAACCATTTGGTTCCCATTGAAGTCCATTATATGAAGAAAAATCCTGGAATGTTTTCATCAAAAACCTTCATTTCTTTTCGACTGAAGAAAGAAAGACATGGACATCTTGGATGACATGGGGGTGAGTAAATTATCAGCAAAAGTTTTTTTTTAAAGTGAACTACTAACCATTTAAACTAAATTGTTACACTTTTTGCGTTTGGGTCCATTTTGACCCGAAAGTTCCATAGAGTGACAGCTTTATACAAGAAAGTATGCTGCTGTTTTATTATGGATCAATTTGTTAGATTTGTCAACCACAAATTTTATTTATTTTGTCATTTATACGCCAAAATTTGTTTTTGCGTCCATATGCATCGTAAACCCCTTGGGTATAGGATTAGGGGTGCAGAGTGCGTGCATATTACACGCCATGAAGTGCGTATCATATGCACGCGAAAACTGCGTATCATATGCACGCAAAAATAAATTGTGACGTACAAATAAAATTCGTTGTATACATACGCACCTTCATCAGACATGGCTCTATTCACACACACATTTGTTTCCTTTCCACTGGGGCTGCAGTTTGTTATGCTCGTGCATACACACAAAATAATTCTGAAATTAAAATAAAATGACAAACAAATTAAGGTCTTAATGTGTTTTAAACAAAAGTTCATAGATCAAATAGTCTAAATTTGAAAAACGGAAAGCGTTTTAGTCTACATTTCACTTTGCTGTTAACTATTGATGAACCATTGCAGCATGAAGAGCAGATTCAAACTGTTCATCTTTTTTTTTTATGAAAGTAAACCTTTATGCAAGTAAAATTTAAATATTTAGTTTGAGAACATTACAATGTTGTTTTGTTTGAAAAATAATACGTAGGTTTCATAAATTTAGACTGTTTTGAGCAGTCGTGAGTTTTACGTTTCAAATGAATTTCACAAAAAATTCATCTAATGATATATTTTAAAAACATTTCTCTTTTATTGCATCACCCCTTTTGCCACAGTTCCTGAAATATTTGAAATTCCAAAGAATGGTTATACTTTATTTTAAGGTGATGTAGCCTATAGTTACATTGCTTACATAAGAGCTGAGTAATATTAATACGCTAGAGTTACGGTCCGGGTTAGGTTAATGGTTAGTTACTTGTAATTCTGCATAATTTACTGTTATTACTATGATAATGTTGTAATGTGTAACTACGGCACTTTAAAATAAAGTGTTTCCTAATTAATTTCTCAGCGTTTTTAATTAATAAAAACAGGGTAAATGAAGTAATAGCACGGTCAAATAAATACAAAAAAATAAAACTTTTTAAATTTTGTGCATTCACTTGTTGATGAGATGTTACTGATTATATAGTTTTAGTTTATATAAATATTTAGTTCTGACTTTTATAAGCTTATAAAGCATATGGAAAAGACTTTGTTTAATCTATAATGAATTATGTTTCATTAAAATGACGCTAAATCAGAGTTTTTAGGGTCAGTGAGAGGCAATTATTCAGTAAATGGTCCCTTTTCCTCCCAGGCTCATTAAATAACTTGAAGTGTTACATGAATAAATGCAATAAAAGCTTCTTTTTTAGACCTCCCTGCTCATAATCACAGTGGATTCAATGGACTGAAGAGTCAGAACAACTTGGCGTGAGGATCTTTTGAGTTTCAACCAAGATGAAGTGAAACTGTGAAATACCCTCTCGGGTCACAAGTCAGTTTTGTGCCACAGAAAGATCTGTTATCAAGCTAATGTTTGAAAAACAAAGAGATGGAAATGGACTGTGAAATAACTGCTAATTGTGACATGGGTGTACAGTAATGGGAAACACTTTGTTGGTGCCAAACAATGCCACAGTTAAGCAAGCAAAACAAGGACGAAGCCAACCAATCAAGTAATGTTTTAAAGCTCTCATACACCATTTCACACTGGTGGAGTCAAACTTGGAGGGTAAGGACAATTACTAAAGGGCCTGGTTGATGTAGATCCCGGCATTCACAATCAGTTAAGGCTCAAAGTCAAATCACGATACAAAGCCAAGGGTATTTTTAAAAGGGTAGACCAAGCGACCAGGGGACATGCTAAGACACGGTTGGTGTCTATGGAAAATAAGCAGTTGTGTTCAATCACTCCGGCTCAGGGACTTTGACTGAAGGGGGCTATTATATTGGGCTATTTTTACTGTGATACCCCACATGTAATTACACCAGTAGAAGATTATAGATTATTTCATGGAAAGTCAGCGATACAACAAAGCCAATTAATCCATCATAAATTACATGCAACATTGAATTTCTTAGAAATGCATCAGGTCGATACATTCCTTCGCAGCGCACACAGAGATTTACAAACTTCAATAGTTGCACGGCTAACCCAGTGTTTTAGTGCGTCATGTAATGACACCGTTTAATTAACTTTCCTGGGACCACCAGCATGAAGAAAGATCCAGAGGTCAAGCAGCATTTCCACTGATTACGAGCACAGACGCTTAAAACAAGCCTCTTTTCAGCAGCTCAATTTAAAAAGCATTAGCAAATCATGCGACTTGAAGCGCGAGCTGATCTCCTAAAACAAAAAAGGTTTAATCTTAGTAGTTTTCCCTCTAAAATTTCCAATTAGCAAATGAAAAAAATACACAGGCCTATTGGTGTCACTCTAAATCAGCTCAAATCAAGTGTAAAATAGGTTACATTTGCTTCTCAGAAACATTTGAATTGAGATTCATTACACAAAAATACTTTATTCTAAGGCTATGTGGTGAAATCATTCATATATCTGACTTTTTCTTTAGTGTGACTCACTATATTTTAATGCAAAACACGACATCCTAAAATGCCCATTTTGTGACACTTTAAAATCGGACAACTCAAGCCTGCAAGTCTGCGTTTCAGTTGATCATTGTGGTTTCCAAAGTAGATTAATGTAAAATAGAAATCCGGTGCATTTATAAAACCTAATGACAAGCCCTGTTGATGCGTCAAACCTACTAATGTCAGTCTGGCAGATAAACCAGAAGTGTTTCCACAAATAATATGTTTGTATAAGATCCTCTAGACTGGCTCCACAGAGTAGCCGTCTTTGGACAGAGGACACATAGTGTAACCCATCGGTGTGGAGTATATTCCTACAGGTGCGAAGGGCAGCATGTGTCTGCTGAAAGGGAAAGACTGTCCACACAATAGAGCTGCAGTCTGGGCTTGCGTACAGAGAGGGAACGGTAGAGTGAGGCCAGGATGCAGGATGGGTTTGCTGGTCATTTTGAGCCTCTCCAGCTCTGCCTCCTGCAGTCGCTTAGCCTTCGCTCTTCGGTTCTGGAACCAGATCTTCACCTGTGTCTCGGTCAGGCTGAGAGAGGTGGAAAATTCAGCGCGTTCTGCGATGGAGAGGTATTGCTTCTGGCGAAACTTCCGCTCGAGGGCCAAGAGCTGCGTAGTGGTGAAAGGGGTTCGGGGTTTACGGTTTGTCTTGTGCTTTCTCAGAGCGCATGCCGAGGGACTCGGTGGACCTGTAAAATAAGTTCATATATTAGCTTGTAAAAGACTTGGTGATAAACAGCTCTGGCAGATGACTAATGTGCTTTAACACAGGGCAAACTACAGGGTGTACCAGATCAACTCGACTGAACACGATGTCTGAATGCGTAATTTGAAAATCAGACATTAAAGCTTGTAAATAATGACTTTTTTTTTGGTCTTTGTCATGTAACACTGTGAAATCGAATTAGTTAGGCTTACTGTAAAAATGGATAAGATCAATAAGATAAATAGCTTGAATGCATCAAAATGAGTTAAGCAATTTTCAACTTTTTTATGTGTTATACAAGATTTGACTTTTTTAAGTCAGTTTAATGTAAGTTTAAATGACTTAAACATCCAAGTTGATTGTACTTATAATTTTAAGGCAGCAATTTTTTTTTAATAGTATGGTGTATTGACAATGTAAATAAGTAAATAAGGCATAGGTGATAAAGTACAGATTGCTATAGCCTGTAGATTCTTACAATTAAGTAAAGTACAGATTGCTAGTCTATAGATTCTTACAATTAAGTAAAGTTATCTAACAGAACAACTGTTGGATTTTACAGTCTATTGATCAATTTTTGCTGGGAACTGTTCCATTTCCTATTATATCTGTTTTTTAAATTATTTTAATGATAAAACAAAACAATTTATAATAAAGGAATGTGGTTAAACTGCTAGTCACTCAATAAAAAAAATCACACACACACACACACACACACCAGCTGATTTAAAAAAAAAAATGTCTCAGAAAAGTTCTGAGAATGGCTCAACTTTGTTTACGTTGTATACCCTAGCAGCCTATCCTAATTCCATTCACACACTATAATGCTATAACTTAGTGTCAAAATATTATTTTTCTAACCTGGTGACTTACGTGGTGATGTTGATCTGTGTTTATTGATCCACGAAGAGTCCTCTTTGACAGATTCACAACGTTTGGAGGAATATATCACGGATCGATCATCCTGATTCATTATGCATGGCATCTGACTCAGTTCCTGTGAAGTTGATTGACTCCTTCCCTTCTTCGACATGAGGGCTTCGACGCTGAACGGGAGACTTTGCGTGCGAACCAAACGCTCCGGCGGAGATGACCGTGAACCTTGGTCATCCTCATCTTCATCGGAGGACACTTTACCTTTATAATTAGCTGAAATCATTCCGCGTAAAATAGCGATATCTATATTCCACATGGAAATATGAGAACGACGCATTAACCTGTAGACTCGCTCTTAGTTGGTTAACTTTTACATGACTAATAATAACTTGACAAAAGTTACAAGACTATCCAAAGTTTGAACCAATCAGCGTCCAGTCAGAGGCAGCGTCTAAACCCCAGAGAGCCGCCTACCTAGACTTCATGGTCATCCTGAGAGACACAGAATGAGTGTTTGTATAGGGAGATGAAGCGTGATTGCCTCATCAAGAGAGATCCTTCCTTAGCCGTTAATGATACTCGGATACAGGTTATATTTAGACCATAATGTGGTGTTTATAGTGGGAGAATATAAAAGCTAAAATTAGGCTTTACCTTTTTCTTCAAATTACTCTCGCAGCGATAATTTGTAGGATAAATCAAACTTGTCACATATGAAGTCAGCAAAATTTGGACACTTGTTTGGGAAATGTGTAAGTAAATCTATTCTACCAACACTATAATGTCCTTCGAATATGTTTTTTGAAGGAATATGGGTGAACATTTTTAAAAATCCATTTAATCTACAGCTGTATTCATGTGCCAGTTTGCAAGAACTGTTTTAAAACAATACATCTTTTAAGAATTAGGACTGACTCTAGTTGTAATAGTTTTAATATTTTATTTAAAAAAAAAAACAATTTATTAAAACCTAAAGCAAAAGCAAAACCTGATAACTGTAACATTTGTGACATACGTTTGGAGGGGACCAAATGTTTCAGGCTAGCATGTAAATTACAGTAATTATATTGTTGTTGCTATTAACACCTTGTAATTAGGCTCACGGAATCCGGTTCTTTTTCACCAGGATTTAACCGTAATAGCTGAAAATTGCTACCCTCTCAAGGTGTATGGCGCCCACTCATATACGAGTCTGTCAATTTAAAGGCTATGAACTTTGTTCTGCTTTGTCACAGCTCACAAGTTAAATGCCGTGGCATGCACTGCAAATCAAATAGAAGTAACGATGATGAAAGGTTTGAAAAATTTGCATTTAACGTCAGCATCTTTGCACAATCGAATCAAAGCAAAACAAACTTAACATGCAACTCCTTTTTTTCCCCACTGCAGAAGTTGCACTCACTGTGGTAATTATTTGATTCCTAGAGAATGCAGAAGTACAAGTCAGTCCTGTCAAAACTAACACTTAAGTGTCTCCACCAAGTCTGGGCTCCTGCACCATTATTACAGCTCTCCAGAAGAGTCATACTCTGTAATCGTGACAGGTTTAATTCTGTGGCAAAGGCCTTGGCTTATGGCTTCATTAAGCTTTATGAATCACTGTGTTCGCATCACTTGTGTTCTATACTTAACTGCTTTGGGAATCATTTTAGCATTCACCTTTACATACTCCCCTCTGTAATAGCAGTGATTAGGGTGCACTCAGGGGTTAAAATCAGGCTAATTTGTGTTCTTTTAAGTCACTTACAATGTTTAACTAGAGAATTAAGTGGAAGAAAAAAGTAATTTAGACTAGCAGGAACAGCATATTGTGCTCATTAGTGGAAAAAGAGAAATGTCAAGAAGTTCACTCCTGCCAATACTGTCACATAAGATGTAATATGTACAGGGTCAACACTGGAGGGAATTGAACAGATAATCCTCGACAGGATTTGGCTGCTGTGGCCTGTGGCGCTGTAGACAAGGCAGATTGTTATACAGAGTCCGCCAAAAGGAATGATTGTTACAGAATTGCTGCATGGGAACGCACACCAGGAGGATTGGAACAACTGGTCAGACTATGATTATGATTTGATTAAAGACCTAATTACATTTTTCTGTGAAAAAGGAAAAAGAACATGCCGTCAACAATAAGCAGTCAAAATTGTTCAAACAACATGTTTTTTTCATTTGAAAGCGACGCTCACACAGTTTGGTCTTCATTAGTTTAGTATAAGCGTGACATGAACAAAACTGCAATGCCGAATAAATGTTAAACACAACACAAGTGTGTTAAATGTGTAGTACTGGCACTGCTCGCTTATTTACAACATGCTTTACAGTGAAATTACTTTTTTAATTGTTTGGCCCAGATTGCTTTTCAGGGTCAGTGAGCAAATGATCGTAAACAAAGTCTACTTCTATTTCAGTAACAAATCCATGTTAGAGATTGCACATACTGATATAATCACTTTACCCATCAGTTTCTTTGCTTGCTTTGGCTTGTAATTCAACAGCGGACCCCAATTGACACTGGACACAAAGCAAACTACATCATTTTAAGTATCGATTCAGATGGATTGAGAAAATACTGTCATTTCATACCAATAACGGTTAAAGGAAGTTCGGAATATTTTTCACAATTTTACACAATAAATGAACACAAAATGAATCCTGTTAGCTGTACTGATTAAACCATGTAGCCCTCAAACCGTATTCACTTTATAGCCCTTAATCCTGTAATTGTGGACAAATGTGGGCACAGAGGACTCTCTGTGAAATTTTTATTTATTATAAATGTTATATCACTGTCTTCGATAAAGTTTTGTCTATCCATTTATGGTGTTTTTTTTATTTATTTACTTCAAAAAGTGCCATATTTTCTATGTAAATTACTTTGTATTTCAATGTAAATTAATTACTATGTAGTTTTATTTTTATTTTTTTTAACTACATTAAAATATCATTCCAATAAGTTCTTAGAGCTAAAACCTAAAGATGAAGTGACTTTGCCGTCACCTGGCGTCTTATTTTAGAAAGCTCTAAATTACAGTTTTCCCATTCATTTCTATGGGTGCCCATTTTTGACCCAAATACAAGATTAAGGAGTTTTTTTTCACCCACTTAACATTGTAGAATTGAGTCCAAAAAAATTGTGTGTGTTCAGGAGGCAAACTTAGGAAACGTAGCCAAGTCTTGTACCGCTTAAATCAAGGGAAGTATTTTTACAAAACTATTTTGCCCACATTTGTCCAGAATACGGTTTTAGGGTTGTACCAGACTGTTGAATTATAATTGTTTGGGAACATAATTTGCACATGATATTTACTTGCATTCATTTCATCTCCACAAATGACAATTTCTTAAAAAAAAAGTGAAATTATGTAAATATACAAACTTCCTCATTACAATTTCGCTGTTCAGTGTCTTTAAACCTCAAGTTCTTCTCATTAAGCTACAGTGAAATGTAAGCGGAGCATCATGTCCCTAGAGACGGAATATTTCATGAGGCAGACAACCCCACGTTTAGGGGTGAGCTGCACCACGGGAACATTCAGTTCATAAATGCAGCACAATATCAAAGTTGACCCCATTTTTCAGATTATAGAAAAAAAAACACCAGATGAGGCTCTTCACATGGCTAGTAAGAATGACGTTCAGCACAATTGCGCGCGGCTAGCTTTCGTTTGATAGCTCTTTCCATTAGACCCCATATGGAGAAATATGCAGTGCTGTCAGGAAGGTGGCCACTGCGCTATGACTGAACTGCTGTTAAGTGCGAGCTCACACACCAATATAGCATGCACAGTGATCCAGGTTCTTATGAAACCCTCATAAGACACCCTCATCAGTGTAAAGCGCTTGAAGGCTTATTCCTGAATCCTGACACCATTATATTTCCTCAAGGCAATATGCAATTATACCTCTGTGCTAAAAGTTAAGGTGACAAAACCATTTCTGGGGAAAGTAAGACGTGATTTTGATCATTTCCCCAAGAATCATTTTGGTGTGGCTTCTGAGTATTAGATTTTGAGGAATTTTTCTCGGCTGTCACACAAGCAACTGCACTCTGTGGTTGCGCCTACCAAGGACTTTTTTTACAGCATGTTTTATAATTCAAGAGGTAAAGGCCATTTTAGTGCTCTCTGTCACATAGTGAATTAAAAGCTATAAAGCACTGGTTAATGAGATAGACATCAGCCATGGTCAGTGATTCACATCCATTTTATGAGGCCTTATTGTCTGTGCTCTATCATTCGCAATCAGGAATTTGGTCATGTTAAGCTTGGCCTCAACAAAGCACAGACAAGACCACATCGCAGGAATTACATGTCCTGCGTCTCTGAGTGCAATACAAATTTACAGGTACACTCCAGCACCAGTCAACTGTTATTGGTGGTAATAACGCTGTTCGAGCAGCATCTACAAAGTGCCTATGCTTTCACAATATCTCCTCCCATGTGCCTCAAACAAAGAGCCTGCTAATTCCAGCTATTCACAAGGCGACATTTCATTAATTATGGATGCTGTCGAACAGGGAACGTTCCCAGAACATTCACTAACGTTCTTTAAAAGTTGTGTAAATGTTAGGACAAAACGTTAATAAAATAATGTTTTCGGAACGTTCATATAACATTATTAACGTTCTTGTAACGTTGAGAGAAAACGTTCTTAGAACAACGTTCTTGGAACGTCTTTATCACGTTATTTGTATTTGATGAACGTTCTCATTACGTTGATAAAAAACGTTCTTAGAACAACGTTATCGGAACGTCTTTATCAGGTTATTTGTGTTTGATAAACGTTCTCATAACGTTCCAGCAACATTATGCTAACCTTAGGATAACGTTCTAACAACATTATGCTAACGTTCCAGCAACGTTCTGCAAACATTAAGACACCGTTCCAGCAACGTTAAGCAAACTGGACATTTCCACGTTTTTAGAACATTTTAAATTAACGTTCCCACAACCAAAATGGAATGTTAGAAAAACGTTCTCAGAACCTAACTTTGTTAGCTGGGAGGAAATAAGCTGTGAGGCAAAGGATGTGCAAATGTATCTAGTATTAGGTGTGTGTGGCGGTGTAGAAGCGAGTTATTGTCTTTGTGCTGCTTTGTGTGCATCCTACCACATCAAGCCTGCGCAAAGTTGAGAGTAAAGACCGAGAAGTAAAGAGATTTGTCTACTGGAGCTCATTTATGACATAATGTGTCATTAAATGTTAAAAAAAAAAGAAAAGACCAAAAGATTTATTGTGATGAAAAGGAAAAACTGTACTGTTTTGAAGTTCAATGAGCCCTTTGAAGAAGCTAAATTCAAAAGGAGACTAAAGCATACTAATCTGCTGCCCAGGCAAAATTAGACATAAATATAAACTGAATAAAACAGTTGTAATTGTCAAACAGCGTTTGGAAATTGTGTACATTGACGCAGTGTGGTCCAATATCACCATCCCATCCTGCGAGAGATAATTTGTGTTTTCCCTGCTTATCCGCACATCATTACAAAAAATGACATTAAGTGAGCCCTGCTTGTGGCTAAGGACTCATAAACAGTGCTAAAGAGAAGGTGTGGCTCCAGTTGCTTTGCATGTTTCAACACATGAACTTAAATGAACCTGGTGGTGAAAATTACAGCTTAATTCAGTGTTAGAATCCATATCAAATGTTGAAGGCCCCGATGTCACGCAGCTCATTGTTCTGGGCTTTCTCGTTTAACACTTTATGGCAGTTTGATTCATATTTATTCAATTGATTCATCGTGAGAAATTCAATTTCAAGAACCAAACAGAATGTAATGTGAAATGCATGCTGGTTATTGTGAGAGATCTAAACATCCCTGAACTATTCCTTTTCTTACCCGAGTTCTATCATTTATCCCTAATCCACAACAAACATTTACAGTAGTTGCATTTAACCTGCATTTAATCTTAGAGATCTACCCACTGCCATTTAGCTGATGCTCAAGGAAAACACATAATCATCACAGGCGCCCAGGAAAGGGGCCTAAACTATATGCATCATTGTCTGTAATCAAGCCTTGGGTTTATTGCTCCATTATACAGACTTGACTTGACAACTTGATTAGTATATCTCAATTTAAATATCTACGGTCATGTTCTCGACAATAGCTTCTCTGATGACTTTTGCCACAAACCCGCAACCTGCATAAGCAAGATGTGGAGCTCTTTTTACACTGGAAATGTAATGCAATTTTATTGTGGGTAAAACATTTACTGATGATTGGTTTCACTAAATTATAAGTCTAAAATAACTTTTGTTGTGTTTAAAGCTGCTGTTGGTAACTTTTGAAAATTGTGTTTGTTAAAACTGTCATTATGTCCTGACAGTAGAATGAGACAGATAATCTGTGAAAAAAAAAAAAAAAAAAAATCAAGCTCCTCCCAATGGTCCTATTGTCATTTGCAGAAATACACCGCTCCCGGTCAGAAACAACCAATCAGAGCCAGGAGGAATGCCTTAGCAGTGTCAATCACGCTCATGTATGTGCTGATGTACCTCCCTCTTGCACAGCGAGGGCTGTCGTTCAAACTCAAGTTTGCCGGTGTGCCGCAGCTGTGCTAATGGTGGAGAACCAACCTAAACTGCTAATTTCTCGAGTGGCACCTTTTTATAAAACAAAGACGGGTAAAAGCATAAAGGAGGAGCGACGACAGCGAAGATCGAGAGAGTAACAGGCCTGATTTCATGTTCTGATTTGTGTGCCAGCACAGTCGTCCATGAGGGGCTGCTGGCTTATTCTCATTTGTTTATTTATTTATTATTAACTTGTTGAACGTTCGTTGGTTCCGCCTCTTTCTTGTAACGCCTTCAGATGAATTTGTACTCGGACTTGACACAGACTCTGACATTTTAGGCCCCGTCCATACTACTGCATTTCCGTTTAAAAACGGAGACCTTTTGCTACGTTTGCGCCTGACTCCAGACTAAAACGGGAAAAACGAAGACCTAAAAAGGAGAGGTTTAGAAACGCTGCAGCTCTGTTTTGCGTTTTGAATCTCCAGAGTTTGTTTTAGTGAAGATGGAACAAAACGGAGGACTTTAGAAACGATGACGCAAAAGGCTGACGCTCGGCTCTATGGGCTTGTTTGAGATGAGCAATATCTGCGCAGAATCAATCACGATGCATGCCGGTTAGAAATGTGTCCGAAAGCGCACCGCCTGGCTCTAATGTCATGGCGACGTATGTCAAAAAACTCTCGCGAGCGCAAGGCGCTCCTGTCGGATTCTGCAGTCGCGCGCAGTTGCTCTCCACTGACTGCGCTGATCAGAAGCATGATGGGAAACGACTTGCTGACGACACAGCTTAATGCTCATTGGTTTAAACAGTGATGAAGGTAAATTCGATATTCATTAAGCTAAATTCTCCAAATCAAGGCCATGTTTTATTTTTATTTTTTCAAATTGAAACTGATATATATTGTGAGTCTCTTAAACGGGTTAAAAATAAGAAAGCTATGTCAGTAACTCAAATACTAGGCTTACTCTAAAATGTTCAAGTGAAAATTAGGAAAATATCTCTCATTTTATAGATGATGAAGTTTGTAAGTCTGTCTATTTAAGCTAAGCTTATTTTGATTTAATAATTTTTTATTATTAATTTTATTCTGATGTTTATTTATTTGTCTCTGTATAATAGGCCTATTTGTTTCACGAATTGTGGTACTTGTAGGTATGTTTGTAACTTGCATTCTAATAAAAATAAAATAAATAAAAATAAAAGAACAACAGTGAATTGTTCTCTTTTAAAATGTTTGATTTTAAAACTGATATCATGTTTTATGTGTATACATATGGGTGAATAAACTCTCTGACAGTGCCATATGGGTTATATGTCATTTTTGTTAAAACAATATATAAAACACGTCTGTATTAAATAAAAAATGATTGATAAACACATATTCGGAATGTAATTAAATAACAAGTACTTTGGGTGTCTTGTTCATTATATTTATTTTTATATAAACGCAACAGAACTTAAATCACATCCAGTTTATTAGCAACACGTGAACAAGCGTGAATCCCGTTAATCTCGCGATATCCGCCTTTGATTTTTATCTCACAGGTGTCTGATTCACTGCGAGAACTGTAACGGTTGTGAGGAAAAATCCTCCAGCTCCGGCACATTCTTTGCTTTTCCAGCATCTTCTGCATATTTGACTCCTTATTAGCAGTGACAGTGAGATCAATCTATTCACACTGGGGACAAGTGAGGGACTCATACACAATCATTACAAACCCTGCAAATATTTAGTGATGTTCAAGAAGGAAACATCCGTTAAGGATGGAACTAGATGTAAATTGGTGTAAATTGTTCAAAAATTAATTAATTAGTTTAGTCCTGTCCTTCAGAGGCTAAAAAAGATATCAGCAAGTAAAACAAAATAATAAAAATTTAAACATCACCATCATCTTGCTCAAAAGTGTACCCCTGGCTCTTAATGCATCATGTTGCATTCTTGAGCATTAAATACCTTTTTCTCTTTGCTCCTCTATATATTTTTCACTGTGTGAGTACATGTGCAGTGAGAGCGGAATAGCTTGTCGGACGTAGCAACAGTAACTAAGAGGCCGGGTCTTTGTGAAAGGTCAATTTCAAATAATTTAAATCTTTGTGGACTCAACCGGACTCGACTCGGGCTCGGATGTTAAGGACTCGAACTCAAGTCCGACTCGGCCCTCTTTGGACTCGGACTTGGACTCGATTGTTAAGGACTTGGACTCGAGTCAGACTCGACAAAGGTGGACACGGACCCAACACTACCTACTAGTAGGGGTGTAACGGTACATGTATTCGTATTGAACCGTTTCGGTTCGAGGCTTCCGGTTCGGTACGCATACAAACCGAACGATTGCTTGGACCATTTTGCAACGTTGCGCAACATCAAATGGTAAGCGTAATGAAAGCAGAACGAAACTGCGCTACTCGTTATGTGCTTCATGGATCGTTTATCAGTTCGGACCAGCAACATCTGTGCAGCGCGAGCCGATCTCGATCAAGCAACACTGTTACTACACAGCGCTAAGAGATCCAAGAGATCCGGTAAAGAAAACATTTGAATTTGCCACTGAGGTAATAACATCGCTGCGAGATCTAGTGAGAAGCATTCACATTTCTCCGTTATTAACCATAGATCTCTATTAGATCAAACAGCGCTGTCATGGAAACCAGGAGAAACACATTGTGCCGTGAATGAACTAGTAATACTTTACGTCCACAGACCAGCAACATTCACCATGGATTTAATATAGTAACACTAACTGGAACCAGTTTGGCTGGAATGGTGAAATGCTTTCAAGTACTTCACACATCTTTTTCCAGCACTTCAAAATTTGAATATTATATAAATAAATATATATTTAAATGTTATTTTTAATGTGATGACCAAAACATTATTTGTTCATCCTTCAAAGATGACCCCCATTAATAAACCTGAAAGTTTCAAGATCTAGGAAAACTCACTTATTTAAAAATATTTTTTCTTTAAACAAATAGGAAATTTCTCTGGCATTTCTTTCTTTTTGCTGTATCGAAAACGTACCGAACCGTGACTTTAAAACCGAGGTACGTACCGAACCGTGATTTTTGTGTACCGTTACACCCCTACCTACTAGTGAATGTGCTGTAACTGTTTATCCACCTTCATTGGTGGCCCTGCTTTCTAGCCAGCGCGTTCACAGCGGGAGGAGCTGTGGAAGGAGGAGCTGTAGCACGGCAGAGAGCAAGGGGGTGGGACCTTTAAGTGTCCTTGTTCAAATTTTCAGGTTAAGTAAATGTTTTCTCAAAACTCCCTACTGTAGCTTTAACCCCCAGTAAAAACATTATGAAAGTTTTTTTTCAACTAAAGACTTGACGTGCAATAATGCTGTCACTATAAGGCTTAACAAACATTCACACTACAGCAAGGCAACAAACAAGTGGGGAGTGAAACAATGTTTTAGTGATTAACAAAGACATTTAAGGTTAATTTACAAACCTATATGTACATTACTGGCATGAATGAACACTGTGTTAACAAAAACACATTAGAAGGTCATTCTCTTATAAATAAATATTTAAAAACAAACAGCAGCTAGTAAATATAATTATAATCCAAAGTGTGGAGGTGGGAGCCTCACTGCAGTTTATGTAGCTGCTATTAATTTAGGAAATATCACCATCTAGTGGTCATCTGTAGGTCATACTCATTTCCTCTTCTTCAATATATTAGCTCTGATAATTTAGATTTAAAACTTTTATAACTTATTAGGCAATATAACTATTTATGAAAAATCATATGAAAAGGTGGACAAATAAAAGCTCATCCTATTGCCCTCTAGTCTCGCTAACAAATGATTTTTCCATGTGAACAGCATTCTTTTCTCTTTAAAATTCACTGCATGTAGTACCATCTGAAATTAAAACCAGATGAAAATCAGCTGTAAATCATACTTGACACTCAAGAATGTTGACATGTTGACAACACAAACAAGGTCTAAAACTTTCATTTTGTATATACAAAGGATTTTAGAAACCATCAGGCTCTTTTAAATGCCATTAACAGTTTACCTTAAAGGGTTAGTTCACCCAAAAATAAAAATTCTGTCAGTAAAACTCACCCTCATGTTTTTCCAACCACGTAAGACCTTCGTTCATCTTTCATCACAAATGAAGATATTTTTGATTAAATCTAAGATTTTTCGCACTCCTCCATTGGCTCCTATGTTATTGAAACTTGCCGGCCCAGAAGGTTATTAAAGACATCGTTAAAAATAGTCCAAGTGACTCCAGTGGCTCGACCTTAAGTTTATCAAGTGACGAGAATACTTTTTGTGCGCAAAAAACAAACAAAAATAGCGACTTTATTCAACTACTCATTTTCTTCTGTGTGGGCCTCGTAGTATAACAGTGCAGCACTTCTGTGTTGTTCGTAGGCTCACTACTATTGGCCAGCATCACATGCATCACATACATGACCAGCGTCGGCCAATAGTTGAAAAGTAATAAAAACGAAAGTCTTACGGGGTTGGAACTTGGAACAATGTAAAGGTGAATAATTACTAACCGAATTATCTTTTTTTGGGTGAACTATCCCTTTAAGTAAAAAATTATGTCATTATTAATTCTCCTTAATGTTCTTCACACAGCTCTTTCTCAACCTAATTCAATTTTTCCTAACACTAAAGAAAGCTTATATAGCCTTAGCCTAGTGCAGTCACAGTGCAGACTCAAGCGGTGTCCCAATTCAGAGGCTGCATCTTTCGAAGGTTTCCAAATGCATCCTTCATTTCCTGTGCAATGCAGGATACAACTGATGGATCCTTCGTGGCCTTGCCTACCCCAGAATTTATTGTGCCCCAGTGACGACAGGATTTTTAAATTTTTTTTTTTTTTGAGAAATTGCCAAATTACACTTTTAAACACAAGTATTGGGTTTAAGCTTACTCAAATATCTGATACAAAATGTAAAAAAAGAAAAAAAAAACTTAAATGCTGTTCAAATACTGACATATCTTACTAAGATGCAATTATATTGATACACTTTATTACAGAAATGGACATGGTGAACACATATTTAGACAGTTTGTGAACCTTGTTTTGTTTTCAGACAGTTTAATATAACTTTCAAAAAAAGTCTAGTACAAATGCTGCGTTCAAGTCATCTCGTATAGATCGTAATTACGCACCACGGCACTTGAACGGCACCACAATGTCGTAAATACCAGTGGGGAGCTGGGGATTTTCTTTAAGCCCCGATCTGTACGAGTTGGGGGGAGTGTCAGTGAGAAACATGGGGGAATAATGGATGCAACATCTGTAGTTGACGATAAATTTTAATTGAATTTCAATGTTTACTCATTGACATTGTAAGGCTTTTTCATTTATAAAGCAAACTCTCTGCACAAAATATGCTATCATTGTAATATAAAAATTATACTTAATGATAGAGTTTACAATGGCTTCATAAGCTAATAAAAACATAAAAAGAAAAACACACCTGATGCGCATTCTTTGTTCTTCGTTTTTTTTATTAGCAAGTTAACTTGCTGTATTTTCGTGTAATTCATTAAAAGAAGGTACACCGCCATTTTGCTTCGACGAAACTGACTTGAACCCACCTCACGTCGTAAACACGACTTCCCACCTCGTACGTACGAACTTCCCAGGAGGACTTGAACGCAGCAAAACATTACTGGCACTTATCACAGTCAAAGTTGCTAGGCGACAAGAACAATCCTCAGACCATCCCATTTAACAGCACTTGGTCTGACCTTCTGGCCTTCACACGCATGGTCAATATGAACTGTCGTTCATGAAGATTCTTTTGAAACAATTCTTCTTTCCCAAAAATCATATCAGTATGGGTATCATGAGGGTGAGTAAATAAGCTGTGTCCAAATTCAGAGGCTGGATCCTTTGAAGGCCACAACGGTAAGACCAATCGTTGTTAAATGGGACGGTCTAGTCTTAGCAACTTGTGACAGCTGCCGATAGTAACGTTTGTACGGGACTCTTTTGCTAAACTGTCTGAAAACAAATCGTATTCACAAAATGGCTCACCATGGTCAATTTCTGCATAAAATAGATTAAACTATCATTTCACAGGAAACTAAGGATGCAGTTGAAGGAGCCTTCGAACTGGGACGTCTATAGAGAGCTATAGAGAGACAGCACTTTAAACTTAGGAACTAACGTTATCCCTTTAAATGCAGACAATGGGCAAACCTCATTTGCTTCGGCTCTGCTGCAAGGTGAGTAACCGCTCTCTGATGACCCTGTTCTCCTCCAACATTTTCTTGATTGTGCTCAATACATCCTGTTTTGTTTGGGACTGACATAGAAAACAACACCACCACATTGTCAAAAATATTAAAATAAAATGCTATAAAATTCTGAAAATATACCAAACCCACCAAATTTGCTGCTTGAGGATCAGGATCTCTTGCTGGGAATCCAAAAGTATCAGATGAGGGCCCTTTTCACACACACACACAGAGAGAGAGAGAGAGAGAGAGAACACGCAACTGTATTCATTCTGCTACAGAGTGATATCAAAACTGTGCGTTTTATAAATGACTGCTTGAGTGGTCCACACGCACCTCCACGAGGGTCACGTTTAGCGCGCTGTGATTTCCCGCCTTCTGGTGCCCTCAGATTAACTGTAGATTTCTTATAAGTCCTTATATTCGAGTAAAACCTCAAAAGTTGGTTTGTTTTCATCTTTCTTGTGAAACATGGCGTTATTTCTGGACTTTTGAAGTGGAGCGAGGGTGAGGGAGTAACGTTAGCCTCTTGAGTCAACCTGTTCCAATTTCTACTCAGTTTATGGTGTTTGCTATTTTCACCGGTAAATCCCGGTTTCTTGAAAATTTGTGGCGACTGAGAGCTGAAGCTCGGTGTGTAGAGTAATTTACAGTAAGTTGCCATTGTTAACGACGAAACCACACTTTACGAACTAATAAATAACCGAGCGTAATGTGAAACTCGAGTTCATCAACAGTCACTTCAGGTTTGAAATGGAGGGAGGCTCAATCACAAGCGCTGTGCAAAGCAGCACAATGTGCTCTTAAAGGAACAGTTACAGAAGAGTTCATTAAAAAAAAATAATAATAATAAAATAAAATATTCCTTAGTCATTTTAGGAAATATTTTCCCAATACAATTAAATTAAAATAGCTTATTTTGTGTTTTGAGGACCAACCAAACTTGTGCATGATCGAATCGATTTAAAATATTAAGCCGCGCTTTCAAAAAAAAATATGGCGCCTATGACAACATGCGGACGAATAAATTATGACAAAATGTTTTCCATTACACTCACCACTGTTGGCCTTGAGATGCACAGTAAATGCTTCAGCTGACTGTTCCAGTATTGCCTGCTTTAGAAAAAAAAGTAAGTAAGTAATATATAATAGCTACGTAAAGTTAGAAATTGTCTGAGATGAATGGATGCCTAAACAAGTATATAAATCCATATTATAATCAATACCATAGTGGATTTCCATTTATAAACAGTCTACTTGTTGTGTGGTATTGATTGAAGACCCGCCAGATGGCGCTGTTTGTGGGCTTCTGCTGCAGTGATCATGTGTGGGCGGCCTCTGAATCAGACTGTGTGTGTGTGTGTTCAGACCTAAAAAAATAATGTACACTAGTAGATGATTTGCATATAATAATATGAATTGCAGCATGAAATCTAATTAATGAGAATAGTCCATACAGTTTAGATGTTCTTCTGAGCATTAATCATGATGATGAGGCATGCCCTAGCTCTCACCAGCTCCATTAATACACCTTCAAGATGTTGTAAAAACAGTAATAAATCTTAATAACTCCATAAAAGTTCTCACGCTGACATGCTCCTTGTAATCATAATACTGTCTTTTAGGCAGCACGCGCTGTATCAGACAAGCTAAAAATAGATTTGTTTGACCCCATTCGGAGTCAGTAGTGTGCCAGAAGCTTTCTGCATTTCCTCTCTGTTAAAATAACTAACACTTTGATTTGATGTACAGTTGGTTGACTTAAATTAAACACAACCTGAATTACAGAGGCAACTTCCAAAGGTTTCATTGATGACTTTCATGCATGGTTAAGACAAGACAGTCGGCATTTCCTGCAATCAAGTTTATTCATTCAACATTTCACATTACAAATACTTTAAGCATTCTGTTATAAATATTTAACCGCAAATAATCAAGACTCAACTACCAAAGCACATGTATGTCTAAATGATACTTTTTTTCTTTACATAACTCCATGTGGATGTAAAATATAAAAATTAAAACTTTTAAATGACATAGCAAAAAAATTGTTCCTCTTATAAAAATCTATTGATAAATACACCTTCCCATACAGTTATAAACTATGTAAATTTAAATAAGCAGTTACATAGACAATTTTCTGATATTTTTTTCTTATCCTTCTGTAGGCATGAAGCACAATATAGTGATTATTAAAACTAGAAAATCTAATAAGTGTACTGATCAAAAACTATAATCAAAATGACAATTATTACATTCCAATTAAAAATATATCAGTAAATGGTTGAAACATTATTCACTTAGTATTTACATTGTCACAGTAGCATGAACTCAAGTAGGAAAATATGTGAATACGTAAAAGTAAAAACACCTATAATTTCAGTGGTTTTTTTTTTTTTACTGTATAAATCAGAGAATAATAAAGGTTATAACAGCTGAAGGAGAGTTTGTGAGGTGATGCATGTTGAAAGTGGTGGATTCGCACATAAGTAGTTATATTAGAAATACAATGTAAAGGTCTCTGGGAAAACGTATTGCACAGATCTCACTGTCAATATTCTGAAAGTGTATTCAAGTAAACCCTGAATCAATTTATGACTAAATCACCCTCTTGTATGCTTCATTTTGTCAACAAGTAAAAACGGGGTATGCACGGTTTGTTTAGGTACATAACTCAGAGTGGTTTCCCCCGGGAAAAGGTTGAAAAAAAAACCCCACTATTAAAGAAAAAGAAAATAATTAAACCTTAACTTCTTAAATTTAGCTCATGCATACCTAATGAATAAATTAACCTTGATGCCTCTCAGAATTATACATAACAGTAAACATTGATATTTCAATATGGAACATTCATCATTGTGATACACATTGCATCCTAATATTTCTCTAATTTACATGGTTAATTATTTTCTTTTCTACAGCCAATAATGAGGGCGGTATCATCATTCTCATAACCGATAAAGGGCAGGTACTAGATAGGTATATATTTATACATGTACCACACATTTTAAGGAATTTGTGTCATGCTAGATTCAATATTTACTTTGTCCATTAAGATAGAAAAGAACACTGTTCGCATTTTGCAAATATTAGATATTAGTTTGAACAATACAGTCACCTAAATATATATTTATATATGTGTGTGTGTGTGTGTGTGTGACAATCTAGGGATTTTATAACCTAAACAAAATTATATTAGCTTTTTTCTTTTCCTGCATCATAACCAGATCTCATAGTAACAAAAAGTACAAAATCTATATTCAACAAGTGAAAAAAAAAAAAAAGTTATCACAAAAGGACTTTCCATTTGTGGAAAAAAGTGACTTGAAAAACAATATTTAGAAAAGTAGTGCATAATGGTTTTACGTCCATGACAAAATAATCAGCTATAAAACACAGTACAAAAATCAGCAGACCATGTAAAAAATAATATTTGTTTTTCAAATTCTTTGAAATGTGCTCAGCTACTGCAATGCTCAGTTAGAACACCAATTAACCCATGGCAAAACCCATGCAGTAAAACACTATCAATGCAAAACATGGTAATTCCTCATTAGCAAATACTACAACATTGAGTTAGCTTTTAGCACAAAATCCCTGACAAATGAGCCAAAGTTACTGCCATAACCATTACAAGAATCATAAACACTTAAGTGAGTAGAATTCATTATTTTCTTAAATCCATTAAACCAATTATGCATTTTAAGCTTTCTAGTCATTGTATCATAGACAGTAGGACATCTCTAAGGCTCATCTTTGGTTTGCCTGACCAAATACCTGTGCATCAAGCACAACAAACTGAATTATCATCGCATCTCTGCTGTTCTTAGTTGTTGCCCTTTAGCCTTATGCTTGATTTGATTAAGTAATAGGTAACGTGGATGTAGTTTAATAGTAATCTTTACAGAATGGGTTACTCTAAAGGATTTTAATTACTACAACATCTTTTTCTTTTTTTTTTTTCTTTTTTGGCTAAATCACAAAGATTTGCCTTACACATGAGAACCAGTCCATATAATCCATTTCAGAATAGGTTGCGGCCTCTTGTTAGTTGTTACTGTGCATTTGAAAGGAGTAACTATGATTCCACATTTGCCATGCAACCAGTTAAGATTAGTCAGTGAAATAGCAAACCTCAACATTAAGTCATTAGTCATATAAATGAGGCTTGAACCCTTACATTGTTAGCCTCTGTGTTTAGCCTTCAACAGATTCAAGCGAAAATGTGACCCATTACAAACAGAAGATGACGCTCCAAGAGAATAAAGATAGAACAGTAATTCAAGTCAGGCTAAACAACTATATATATAGATATATATATATATATATATATTTCTTTTTTTTAAATCTAATGCATTCAAGTCTTCATGCGCACCAATGTAGCTTTTCAACAAAACAAAAAAAAAAAATCAGGATTACACCATTTTCTTTTAGCATTCTCTTCTGCAAAAAAAAATAATAATAATTAAAAACTTAAGAATAAATACAATTTTAGACTTAAAAAAGAACTCGAAATAAAAAGGACTTAGCAAAATGAAAAGTGCATGTATACGAATAGCACAGCCTTGGCCTCCCAGATCAGTTCCAGCGGAAGGAGATGTGGCGAGGCCGGTCTCCTCCCTCCTTCACTAGAGGCTTGTGAAACTCCCGTCCGGCACGCGAGTGAATGGCTGCCCAGCAGTATTCACAGTAGTACTGAAGACAAGTGACATTAGCGCAGAAGAACGGAGCAAACTTGCCTCCACAACGCGTGCCCTGACACTCATCACACAGCTGGTCATCCAGTACATATGGCTTCACTTCCACCTGGGAAAGGTAGACACTTTTAGCTTAGCACATGTCATGGCAGGCTGGCCTTGACCATGAAGAACAAAAGAATTACGATAATAAGCCATTTAAACAAACAAGGCAAAGAGCCCGACATTATTGTAGTATGCAGTAGATCAGATCTCCATTTTCTTTTAGAGGCTTTTTTCATTACGAAGCTTAAATGTGTTTATTTAAAAAATAAACAGTCATTTGACTGGCTAAAGAACTAAGGGCCAGATTTACCAACAGCTTGCGCCAGCGCAAACCCTCTTTTGGCTTAAAAAAAAAAAAATACTGTCAGAATTTACTAAAGACACGCAGTGAAAAATTTGCTCTGAAAAGGCATGGGCGCAGTTATACTTATTGCATATTTCCTTTTCAGGCTCAAAATTTATGCGAGGACAGGATTTAAATAAATCATGCAAGGTGATTTACTAAGGTTTGCGCTTGTCAAATTCCTGACTTACTGGTGTTTGCACCATTATTAAATGTAAAGAGTTTTCGCTCTTAAAAACTGTTTAGCGTATAACGCTAGTTCTGGGGGCATTTACTAAGTAAAAAATAAAAATAAAAATCGCTAGTTTATACCACTAACAAGGCTCAAAATAGCCCCACAGTAACATAATGAGGGTCCCTACATGCAAACTGAAGCATTGAGAACTTTGTAAGTGTACAGACCATTTAATAAGAAGATACTTTAAAGGGATACTCCACTTTTTTTTTGGAAATATGCTCATTTTACAACTCCCCCAGAGTTAAACTGCTGAGTTTTACCTTTTTTGAATCCATTCAGCCGATCTCCGGTTCTGGCGGTACCACTTTTAGCATAGCTTAGCATACATCATTGAAGTGGACAAGACCATTAGCATTTCTCCCAAAAATATTACCAAAGTGTTTCAATAACTTTTTTCATTTAAAACTTGACTCTTCTGTAGTTACATCGTGCACTAAGACAGGGGTTTTCAAACTTTTTGTGTGTGTGGACCACTATTTGTAATCAAGAATTTTCACGGACCACCTCATAATACACATATTATGATATTACATATTATATTTAGGTTCATTTGAACAACAGGCTTATTTCCATAGCAATGGAGTATCAAATCTATACAGTAATAAGTACACGATTTTAGGGGATTATTAACGTTAATCTTCAGAGTTCTACAAGTCCTCAAAAAGTAGGCTTGAGTTTGTCCACTTAACAGCACATCCGCAAAACATTTCAGAAACACGAGATCAAGAAACTAACGTTAACTGGAAATTAAAATAATAACAGGCCTTATTCATTCCATTTATAAACATTTCGTTTTATAAAAGGCCTAAACTGCCTATAAAAAAAAACATCCTATGCATGTGCTTTGATAATGAGAACATATTTGCTTCTGCCCTATAACATTACACATTTAAAGAAAACACAGTAGGCCTAACGTTATTCCAGGTTAAAAATAAAGTTGTCAATAAAAGCCATTGGAGTCTATTTGCCAGCCCGATATAAAACGTAATATCCTCCTTTGTCACCCTCCACATCTTTCCCTTCCTCTTTGTATCGTCTGTCTAATATAGACCTACATTAAAAACAAACAACTAAATAAATGCTCACCTAACCTGTTGCTATCCACCGATCCGGTGTTGTGGTTCTGACGACAAGGAGCTTGAACGTCACGGCCGAGCGCCACTAGCCTATTTTAGTAATCACACAATAGCTTGACAATTTAATTTACATTTTATATAAATATAGGCCTACATATTCTTTTTACTTTTTTTAATGGGAATTTCTTGTTAAAATATTTTAGATTTTATTTTGCCTTTTCACGGACCACCTGCAGTACCCTCACGGACCACTAATGGTCCGCAGACCACAGTTTGGGAATTGTTGCACTAAGACTAAGACACACGGAAAATTTAAAGTTGCGATTTTCTAGGCTGATATGACCAGGAACTATACTCTCATTCCTGCGTGATAATCAGGAAACTTCACTGCCGTACCATGAGTGCAGCAGGCGCGATGACTACACAAACGTACTCCCGGTCACGTTGGAAGCTGGGCACTATTTTCAGGCGCTGCGTAATAACATTACGCAGTTTCCTGTTTATTACGCAGGAATGAGAATATAGTTCCTAGTCATATCAGCCTAGAAAATCACAACTTTACATTTTCCGTCGGTCTTAGTGCAGATGTAACTACAGAAGAGTCAAGTTTTAAATAGGAAAAATATCGAAACACTGGTCATTTTTTTGGGAGAAATGCTAATGGTCTTGTGCACTTCAATGATGTATGCTAAGCTATGCTAAAAGTGGTACCGCCAGAACCGGAGATCACCTGAATGGATTCAAAAAAGGTAAAACAACAGTTTAACTCTGGGGGAGTTGTAAAATGAGCCAATTTCCAAAAAAAGTGGAGTATCCCTTTTAAGACAGTTTACTTCGTGTATACAGACAGGAGCCATCTTAGAAAATAGTCTCGATAAGTCAAACCACGAACGTCGTGCTGAGTGAGCTGAACTAAATGAAGTTCAGCGAACTTCTGACAGGCGTTTGGGGATCGTCTATTTTCTAAGATGGCTCCCGTCTGTATACACGAAGTGAACTGTTTTTATAAGTGTACAGACCGTTTAATAAGTAGATACTTTATAAAGTCTGTACACTTCTAAAGCACTTTGACTCAGCGCAGTAATATCACTAGTGAAAAGTCCTCTCTCCCCTCTCACTCTCCGGAGTGATGATATTACTGCGTCGAATCCATAGATAAATATGCGCCGAGTCGACGTGCTCCCAAACACTTGCTGTGGTGTTCCACCATACAATTTAGTGAACCAATTTACACACTTAGAAAAGCGCAACGTCTTATTTTGTGTCACCGTACTAGGTTGAGTTACACTGCACAAGTAACTGTATTTAAATAGGGAAAACGTGGAGGTGTTTGGTCACTTCTCTGCTTGACCCTTATTGAATGAACTGGGCAGTGTTGGGGAGTAGTTAACTACAAGTAGCGACGCTACTAACTTAACTACATTTTTCAGTAGCTTGGCTGTAGCTCAGTTGCTTTTTAAACAGTGTAGCTTTTCCAGTAGCTAACTACTTTTTGCAGCAAGTAGCGGTGTAGCGCGACCAAAAGCTACATTGCGTTTGTCGAGCCTGCGCGAATCAACCCGATGCAAGGATATTCTTCATCTTGTTAGATTACAAACTCATTTTTTGCCATTACCGCCACCTGTTGTTTAATCACGCGTCTTGCGGCTAACGGTTCACTGACGTAAAGAAGTGGGTTGACAGTGACACACCCATATTATGATTATGATGGAGCCAGAGGTGACCGCAGATTTGGATGATGGAGAAACAACTAAAGTTAATTACCCATGGCCTTATTTGTCCAAGTTCAATCGGTATTTTTGAGAAAATGTTCTAAATGCAATTTATGTTGAATGTATATTTTGTTCTTGCAATGTTGTAGCCTATTTGTTGCAATTTTGCACTTTTGACAAACAGTCTGCGATATTTGAGTGTTGTGTGTAATAAAACAATACTCTATGAAATCATAATTGTATTGCATTGTTTTAAACACTAAATATTTTAATTAAAACATTCATCAGACACTTATTCAGTCATTTATAATATATAATTTATAGCATGCTAAAATAATAATATGTAATATAATATTTATAATATGTTGTTCAAAAAGCAAAAGTAGTTTCAACGTAGCTAGCTACTTTTTGATAGTAACTTGTAGTGTAGCTAGCTACTTTTCCAAAAGGGTAACTTGACTGTAGTTTAACTACTTTAACGTACGAGTAGCTTGTAGCTTGTCAAACTACAGTTTCAGAGTAGCTTCCCCAACACTGGAACTGGGCTAGTTAAGTGATGCACGCACTGAGACGGGAGAGGTATGCATCAACTCGTCTTAGTTAAGGGAATAACAGTTTAATATGAAAAACGGTGGAGTATCCCTTTAAATGTCAACCATTTTGCGCTCTCTACAAAAAAAATAAAAAATAACTGCCGGCCTGCAGGTGAAGAGCCCTGCCCTACATGGCACTGACATTTGATATATGGAAGAGCTAAAGAACAAGCTTGACTATCACTTTACATATACATTACCTAAAGCTCCATCCCCCACTCACCCGTTTATCGATCTCTCCGTGTTGCAGTTGCACAAAGCGAGCGCTGATAGCAGCAATGTAGCTCTGTTGATTGGAGAAGGCCACCCGTCCAGCTCCTTTAGGATACTTCAGCTCAGGGTCAGTGTCAATGCCAGCATAACACACCCCGCCGTACAGTCGGTCCATTATCATTGCGAGCTCCACTGTCATGGAGTAAACCATCAATTTAAAAATAATTTAAAAAAGAACTAATAATGCAATCAAGTCTAAGTAATGGCTCGTTTCCACGGAGTGGTACGGTACAGTTCGGTACGCAATTATTTGCGCTTCCACTGTCAAAAGTTGTGAATGGTACCAAAAAGCCGAACCGTACCGCACTTTTTGGGTACCCTTCCGTTGGGGTACCTAGCACAGTGAAATGGTACTAAAAGGTGGAGCTAGACTCACTGCAGAACGGTGATTGGTGGACAGAGTATAGTCACTCGCGCGTGCTACAAGGGCATTAGAAGCATACAGTTGAAATATAATTCTACTGTTATTGTGTCACGAAATGTAGTTTTAAGAGTTTTTCAGGCGAGAACGTAGTTTTTTAAAGCTCAAATCTGTGGTTTATTTATAGATTTATGATAATTTCCTCGGCTAGTCGTTCTGATGTTTGCCGCTGACTCGGATGTCTCTGTCTGTAGTGATTAAACATGAGATATAGTTCGTCTTGTATAAACCTAACAGGTGATCTTTGGTCTCGTGAATCTATAATTCGTTCCCTGGCCAATAGTTTTGGCAGAAGGCTACGTGAAGTTTAATATCTTTGAGCGCTGAATTATATTTGACTGACTGAATTGTTTCTTGATGTTATTTAAGCTTTACTGTATATCTTTTGGTACCTTTTACTTATACTTTTATAATGGCTATTATTGATAAAACTGAAATTCAACAAAAAGAGATAGATTTGTCATTTTATTACAATATCATCTGTAATGTTGTTTATTGCAACATTTGTACCAATGCGATATCCAATGCAATACGTTACATATCGCCTGGAATATGTTTAATATTTTTACATTTAAACGAAGAGGCAGGGTTGTTTTATATTTAGTTTTGTTATAAATATACGTTACAGGCTACATGCAGTGAATATCATCAATAGGCTATGAACCACATTTATGTGCTTTAGAATGTTTAAAATGTATTGAAATGAAATCGAAAAGAAGCAGAGTGGTGTTTTATAACATATTTCGTTTTATTGTTGCCTAAAATGAACATACAGAGATAACCGGAGTCGCATAGCCAGAGCGAGCTGAATGCCGCTTTCAAGAACACGCTGTTCCATTAACAAAATTACTGGACTCGCGTCCTCGGGATCATTCTCCTGAGTCTGACTTTGCGTTGGCTTCTTGGAAACGCCTAATGCCAGCGCTTGTTTCTAGTGACAAACATGCTGAGAAGCAAGAACAACATCTGCTTTCTGTCATCCGTCGTTGTTTACTATGTCGCTTTCTTCGCCTCGAAAATGACGTCGATCGCTTCTTTCCAGCATACCACGCCTATCAAGTATGGGTACTGTTGGCGGTGGAAACGCAAGCCTGATCATGGTGTACCCGACCCGACCCGTACCCCTCAGTAGAAACGAGCCATTAGAGTAAAACCTGTTCTAGATGATTGTAACAACACACTGTAAATAATCTACAAAACCCTTATTGTATTTACTGTGATGACTAAACCGAAAAATGTTGATAATTTATGGGATCATCTGAAAACCAAACAAACCGGCTCGTAGAGGTCGTGGAACTCCCCCGACAAAGATAGTTTTCCTGGGGTCAAGGGGCTGAGAGCCATCCATCACAAAGTCACTGTCGTTCAAATTCCAGGGTCGTATCTGGACCTAATGATACACAATGAACATGACAGAATCATTGACTTGTCATTTGCAATATGGTATAGTTAACAGTGCTGAGCAGGTTACAACATTCAGGTTTATAATTAACTTTAAAATGCTCTGCTAATTTCTCATGACTTGCATACGAGCTTAAGAACAAAACCACACAGGAACAGCAGACATACAGCCTTCTCATGAGTTCGCCTGCCCATCCAGTCCTGATGGCTAATGGTAAACAAACTTGGCTTGCGGTCTTCAAAGGAAGCTCGAACCCGAGGCTCGAGCTCCGAGCTAAACCTCCAATAATGATACTATGTAGAAGAATGAGAGAAATAGAGGAGGAGAAGGGATGCCGGAAGAATTGTTGTTAGAAAGGCACAATGACGGCTGCTTACGTTTGCTTGTAATGATGATTGACAGCCAGGACTGAATGATTAGGCTCCTCATGAACCTACATTAGGAACTTCATTTAATATCTTACTGGTTTGTCTTTGATCGTAGGGCTAGAGACACAGAGATAGAGCTTCCCATCCTCTTCCATACAGGCATCAATCAGTGCTTGGACTGAGCTCTCGTCTTGAAACAGGAGGAAAGCATAACCTGGAAGACAACAGGTTCACTGATGGCATGCATGCAAGAAGCAACTAGCACTTTCAGTATCCTTGACCTGCAACCTTTGCTATCCATCTTAAAGAAGTAGTTCACTTTTGAAAAAAAACCTTTGCTGATAATTTACTCACCCCCATGTCATCCAAGATGTCAATGTCTTTCTTTCTTCAGTCGAAAAGAAATTGAAATTTCCAGCATTTTTCTCCATATAATGGACTTCAGTGGGAACCAAACAGTTCAAGGTCCAAAAGACAGTTTCATTGCAAACTGTTCAAAGGGCTTTAAATGATTCCAGACGATGAATAAGGGAACTATTCATAAGGGACGATGATATCAAGCGAAACGATCACTCATTTAATAAATAAATAACAAAGTTTAAGTTTTATAAGCTCAAATGCTCGCCTTGCTCTGTTCTGTGAGGCACGTTCGTGACTCTCCTGTTCGAACTCGTTTATCAAAATGAACGAATCTTTATCTGAGTCATTTGGTTTATTCAACAAACGAAATGAACGAATTGACTCGGAAAAAGATTTGTTCATTTTGATGAACGAGTTCGAACAGGAGAGTCACGAAAAACCATCGCAGTACAGAGCAAGGCGACCATTTGAACTTATAAAACGTTCTTATAAAAATCGTATAATTTTTTTTTTTTTTTTAAATGAGCGATCGTTTCGCTTGATAAGACCCTTATTCCTCGTCTGGAATCGTTTAAAGCCCTTTGAACAGTTTGCAGTTTGCACTGAAACCGTCTTTTGCACCTTGAACCGTTTGGTTCCCATTGAAGTCCATTATATGGACAAAAATCCTGGAATGTTCATCAAAAACCTTAATTTCTATTCGACTGAAGAAAGAAAGACATGGACATCTTGGATGACATGGGGGTGAGTAAATTATCAGCACAAGTTTTTTTGAAAAGTGAACTACTCTATTAAGCTTGGCTTTAAGCTTGGCCCAAAAATGAAAATGTCGTCATTAATGACTCACATGTTGTCCCAAGCCCGTAAGACCTCCGTTCATCTTCGGAACACAGTTTAAGATATTTTAGATTTAGTCCGAGAGATATCTGTCCCTCCACTGAAAATACATGTATGGTCTACTGTCCTTGTCCAGAAAGGAAATAAAGACAAAGTAGTCCATGACATCAGTGGGTTAGTTAGAATGTTTTGAAGCATCGAAAATACATTTTGGTCCAAAAATAACAAAAACTACGACTTTATTCAGCATTGTATTGTCTTCCGATTCTGTTGTCGACAGAACCGTGAGATTTCACGTAGTGATATTGCGCAAAGCTTCTGTGTTGCACGTCACATGTAGGCTCGGTCATGTGTGATGCGTGTGACGTACAACCTAAAAGCTTTGCGTAGTTTCATTACGTGAAATCTCAAGGCCAACAGAGAAGGAAATGAATAGTTGAATAAACTTGTTCGTTTTTGCACACAAAAAGTATTCTCGTCGCTTGATAAACTTAAGATTGAGCCACTGTAGTCACTCGGACTATTTTAGCAATGTCTTTAATAACATTCTGGGCCGGGCCAGTTTAGGTCCCTTAAGAAGTCTATGGAGGAGTGATCCAGCTCTCAGATTTAATCAAAAATATCTTTGTGTTCCGAAGATGAACGAAAGTCTTATTGGAAAGTCTAACAACATGAGGGAGAGCAATTACTGACAGAATTTTCATTTTTGGGTGAACTAACCCTTTAAACAAAGGTTTGCATCTAAGCTCCCTCGTAGAATTACAGAATTAATCAGCTAAAATGAGAGAAGCTGATCTCTGCATGACTCAGTCTTAAATGCTTAAATGTAGAGTTCTTGCACTCTGAAACTAACCTTTCGGTGGAAAATAAGATTTGCTTTCTGCTTTGTGTGGCCAGTCCACAAACAAATGTCCAAAGCGTCGGAAACTGGCAGTGATTTCATCTGAAATTGTATACATATGACATGTTAGATGTGCTCATTTTACTAAAACCTGGAGAGCGACCCTTCTTATCCCTTAGTACCTTCATCTATGTCTGGAGGTAGACCACCAACAAAGACCTTGCGGGAATAACGCTCAATGCGTTCACCATTCTGGTGTGGGAAACTGTGCGGTGAGCCCAGTCCACTCAGACTCTGATCAGACCTCTCATCCTCTCCGTAACTCCGCTCATCCTCCATGGGAAACAACGATGAGTGACCTGTCACACAAGAGTCCCAAAAGCAATTTAGTGGAACTAATTCTGATGTCACCTAACAAACCTTTATAAGTTTATAAAAGCTACTGTAGCAATTAACAGGGTTCCTACTCAGTTTGGAAAAGTATAGAAAAAAAAAACGGCGCATGGAAAAATATTTGTTTCCCTTTTTCAGTTTTCTGAAATATAAAATTACGCATTTTTAGAAAATAAATGTATAACACAAGCAGTATGATTTCATGGCAAAAGTTTAATGGCTGTTTAATGAATTCAAGCCGGACATTTTGATTGCGCAAATTTTTTTGGCTTTACCATGAGCAAGTCTCTTTTGAATTTCACAAGTGAATGCGCATGTGCCATTTGAACCAGCAACAGATAAAATGGCAAAATTTAAATAAGAATATACTATGCTGTTTGGTTATTCAACATCAAACCATGATTACAATATCAAACTGATGTAGCAGTGTTGGGCTTTTCCATATTTATATGGATTTCTGCATTTTCCGACCAAAAAAAGTGTGACCTACGTGAATTAAAAATCACGAAGAGACCTTAAACAATTACTAAATAAATGTAAAATGTATTTCATCCACAGATTGCTTCTGACAGTGCTGCATGCTGGGTTTAAAGTGCCAAATGGGATTTAAAAACAAACACAGACACATTACCTCGCCTGTTGCCCGGTAACTGAATTTTGACAATGCATGGTTGTGAGAATGTGTTATGTCTGAGTGTGATCATCAAATTGCAAAGGTTGTAATGTAAATATATGCGCTATATGTTTCAAAACAAAGCCAAAGCGCAGAACTGTGTTCATTTCCAGTTTCAATTTAAAGTAAATACCCTGCGAGTGCTGTGTGTTTGAGTAATTAAGAATTTGCATTTGGCAACACATGCGCACACCATCAATCCAAATTTGTAATGTCAACAAAGCTTTAAGGTCTCCCTGCGGGTTTCCTCCAAAATAAAAACTCAATGGTTTAACAAACGAAAAAAAATTATGACAACCATAAATGTTACTATTGTAATTTTACTGTTGTTTTGTAAAATAAAATAAACAAATGGTCATCCCAATTAATAAAAAACTACTACAAATAATAATAATTACAACAACAACAATTCAATTAAAATGTTTAAAACAGTCTATTATAATATGGTTTTGTTACTATGATTATTACCAAATATTTGATTTAAATTTTATAGTAGTTTAATTTTGCAACAGTAAGATATTTGTTTAGGATTCTAATCAAATATATGACGCTGATAATAATAATAATAATGATGTATAAAACCATTATTTTAAATATGGTCAAAGTTGGGAAATTTGAGTATGAAAAGAATGGAATCTAGAAATGGAAAATGTGTAGGAAGCCTGAATTAACATCCATCTTCATTTGAATACAATGAGATGACAGTTTCTAAACAACAGAGCACAGAAATCTTGACTGGCAACCAACACAATTTAACACAAAGGCTGCATGCTGTAACTTGAAATTAAATGACATCAACCAACAGACAAAATTTATATACGCTTCCTCTAAGATCTTTACCTCGTCGCCTCCCGTAATTCCTTGCTGCATGTGAAATAAGACAGAATAAACTTGAGCAAAGACTTAGACATTGCACTCAGATGCTATCGGTCTAAAACACTGTTGATAAAAATGGAAGATGTGTATTAAATGCACAATAGCACATACAGTTAGTAGACATAAGTGCACAGGTATTGGAATTAAGCAAACACTGAACTATCATTTGGTTTAACACACTCATGCTTTTCAAATATATAATTCATTAAATCCTATATTTGTTAGAATTATTAATGTTACACTTCACCTCAATATTTTATTTTTTTTTAAAACAAGTACCATTGTGAATAAAACAATGGTCTTCATCTTTTGGTCAGTCTAGCTTCTCCTTCAGAGGGGCTACACTATGGAATTCTCTCCCAATTGGACTCAAACTGCAGAGGAACATCTTTACCAGAGACCTTAAACAGTGGCTGAAATTGGGCCAAAGTTGTTCCCATGTGTAAATGATCTTTGTCTTGTTTTATAATGCGTTTTTATCTGTAGTAAAAGCCCCTATGGACAGGTGTTGAAAATTAGCACATGTGCTATTACACTTTAAACAATGCATCTGGTTCGTCCAATGTTATTGCTATGTCCATATTAAATAAATAAAAATTTTTAAAAAAATAAACCAGTTCTGTGCAAAAACTACATATCAAACTCTCCAGTGTTTGTCCTAGGTAAGTCTTCAAGATCCGGAAGTGATCTCCATGTCCCTTCATTCAATATATTCTGTGGCTGTGCTTTCTAAAACACTCATCCTATGGCAACAATAAATCACAAATCCCAAACAGATTCCAAAACTAAACTTAGAACTGGGTTGTGTATGTGGGTTACTTAAACGCAGGAAAATGTTGGTATGGGGGACAGTTTATATTTGTCATATCGGTTATGACAAGAATGGAAATAACATGAGTTATATATTTTTGACTTTAGTTTGGGAATAAAAACGGGGAGTTTTGGAGAAATCAAGCGTTGTAATACAGCAGATGAGAAAAAAAGATCAAAAGGTGCATTAAAAAAAACCAGAATGCATGATGCTGCAAATATAAGCATCAAAGCCAAGTAAACTAAGGCTTTATTTGGTTATTTTGAGAAAGAATATATAAAATACATTTAAATTCATAATCATGCATTTGAATATGCTATATTACGTGTTTGCAATGAATAACACTGAATCATAAACGTATAAATTGTCTGGCCTAAAAATTCCACATGATTAATCATCAAATTTAGTGATTTTTACTTGGAAAAGATCAACACACAAACACTCATGCGAGGCAGGATCTGTAACGGCACGGCAGCGAGTAAAGTACCTTTCAAGGAATCCTGCTCGGCTCTCATGATGTCGATCAGAGAGTTCTCTAGAGAGTGCATGCTGAAACCATCAAAGGACCGACTGCGCTCCTGCAAAAAAACCGACAAGGGAGATGTGATTAGGCCCCGTCATTCGGTCTGAAAAGTAATAAATGGATTTTATAAAATAATGCAGAGAAAGTTCTATTTAAGTGAAATCAACAGTTTCTGAAACGCATCCCGCTGGCACATTCACATAATTTTGTTTTGAAAAATGCAGATATATCTCATGCCACCCATGCAAACATGCAGCTAAGGCCCACATTAACACACAGAGACTGACACAGTTGGGCATTTGATGTGTACACCAATAGTGCCATTAGATAAAGAATACATTCCTAAGGCTATAGAGCAAGAAAATAAGTAATTCTCTGTGTACCAAGTCTGGTTGCTTGCAAAAGAACCCATGTTGTTTCCCATGGCGTCTGTAGTCACCTGATTCAGCCTGGATTGACTACAAACACTTATTTTGATGAAATGCACTATAACCCTTGGGTGTTTTAGCACAACAATCCTGTGCTCACCAACAGGAAAAGCCTTACAAACAATACAAGGTTTGTTCTTGGTATTAGGCTGCAAACTGAGCAGGGAGGACACACTGAGCATGTGAAACAGTGAGTTTTCACAGTTCCTGTGGTTGGAACAACAACATACAGTACAGACTCACTGCTAACAGGTCAATCATAAAAAAAATATCAATTTTGTTCTAAAACAAGTAGAATTCAAATCATCTGTTGGTCTTCCAGTTACTAAATCTATGATAGATATGAAAAGAATAGCCAAATAGAATAGAATCCCTGATAATTGTCTTGACATAAGTGGATTAATGAGTGTCAGAGTTTCCAGTTCCCCTCATGTTGCCTGTGCTGTGTGCCATCCCCTGATCATGACTCACTCAACCATGTCTTTTTATATCGTTGACAATCACAGCTTGCAGAAGTGGAGCGACAGCGCTGCATTGCTCATGTGAGCTTTGATCCATCGCATTTATCTTACAAACAGGCCACATGACTGCTTTGTCACTATCAGATTAGATTAACCCAAAGGGAGCAAATGCAGAAAGAAAAAAAAAATGTAATCCTCGATACACGCATCTTTGCATGTGCTTACACCATATCACCATAAATCAACAAAAGCTAAAAATTAAGAGAGACTGGGCTTTGGTTACCTGAAATGGAAAGAGGCTATCGTTGCGATTTATGGTATCCTCCATCCAGGGTTTAGTGTTGAAGCCGGAATTGTTGCGGGGATACTTTTGAGTAGGTGTCTGGTTATTTGGGAAAGACTTCTTTAAAGGCGAAATCGAATTGAGGGGATTGACCCCTCCATTCAGGCCTCTTCGATACTCCCGTCCCTGAGAGCTTCCCCAGCCTCCGTACCCTCCACCGGGGCTCCATGAAGTTGAAGATGGAGTGGAAGAAGGGCTCTGATAGCTTCCCCAAGGTGATGGGGGCTTGCTCAGGTTATTCCCTAAATGGGGCAACTGGTTGAAAGCAGCACTGCGGTGGGAAAAGGGAGGCGGATGGGGGCTGGGTGAGGACCTGCGGTGCTGATTATGAGGGTGCTGGAAGTGGGGATGATGAGATGGATGGTGCTGAGATAGAGGCCCTATCTGGTGGGAGAAATTCCCCCCGAAACCTGTATTGGTGTGATGAGAGAAACTCTGAAATAGCAGCGGAGGAGGAGCATTGTTAGTAGTAGCGGCCTGGTTGAAAAAGCCAACCTCTTCAATCAAGGTGGAGGGGTTAGGCGGCATAGCAGTGGACCAGCTGCTGAAGCCAGTGAGGGACGAGGAAGAGGAGCTACTGGACTGTGCTAAAGTACCAATACCGGACGTCTCATGATAGTCAAAGCCTGATAACACAGGAGACTCGAGCCGCAGCGCCTCTTTTCCGTTAGCATTCTCCATGGTCCCTTTCTCCAGCTGATTCTCCTCCGGCATGGCGTTGTCCAAATCTGATATTATTCCTGGCGCTTCTTGGTGACCTGGTGGAGAGAGTGCTTGCTTGTCTTGTCCATCCTGACTTTCCAGTTGCGGCTGCGAAGCCTTGGACGTCTCAGACTCCAAAATATCATCTTGCATGTTAGAGTTGGTCGTCACAGCTGGGAAAAGCCAAGCGGATCCAACACTTCCACCATTGGTAGTAGTGTTGTTGTTGCTGATGAAAGCTGGAGGGCTTGGAGGAGCGGTCTGGTGGTGGACCGTATGCTGCAGGTGTGGATGTATTCTTACTGGAAAAACTGATTTGTTAGCAGCGTTGTTTTTAACCAGAAAGCCGTAATCCCCCATTTATGTAGCTTAATCGAGTAAATCTTCACTTGTGCGTAATTCCCTCAGTTTCTCTTAATACCCTTGTGTGAGAGAGAGAGATGACATTTTTTTTAGAATACTAAACAGCTAATGAATCATGCATCCAACCATTATACAATACATTCAAATATGCAGTTTCTATTACTGTTTTACACTAACGACCTTTGCCGTCATTCACAGACACGCACAGTAGGCTACTGGGGCCGGTTTCACAAAGCTATCTTAGACCTGTCTATGGTGTTAGACAAGTCTAAAATTTGCTCATAAACTAGTCTAATGCAAGTTAGACTGTTTCACAAAAATAAAGACTGACTTAATTTAGAACAAACATTGTTTTTTTTCTGTCTGAGAAGTCTGAATATCTACTACTATATCTAACTAAGCCATAGTCAAAGTCTATCTTTGTGATACTGGCCCCTGATCTATCATGGTTTTAATGATGGAATGGAATTTAATCTTAAATGAAATCAAGAGTAAGAGACAATGCAGCGAGAAACGCCATGGGGAGTGCATCGTTGATTTAATCGACATTTCTTAATCTAAGCCAAACGGGGTCGCCTTTAAACACATCACGACATGTCATCATGACACAAGGCCACCTTATCTAATAAATCCACACGCCCGCTAATGGAGGATTTTCACGTAACGTTACGCATTTAAGCAATGTCATCGCAAATGTTTCAAGATAATGCAAATGACCTACCGGCGTTCTTCCTTATTTCAGCAATGACCTCCTCTCGCTCAGCCATTTAAATACAGGAAAATGTTGATGACGTTTCAGTCTATGTGCTATAGACCGGGGCAGTGTCCCCCACAGTCCAAATTTTACCTTACAAATACTCGAATTTACATTGACGCGTCGATTAAATCCCACGGATGTGATGCCAAACGCTACTCGGCGAATTTCTAGTACATTTGCTTCATAAGCAACGCTAATTACTTCAGATCCCGCACTGCAAACGACAACGTTCGTGTTCTGGTTTCTTAATGACACCGTGCATCGCAGTCGGCGTTATAATAAAGACAGCGGTTAAAAACGTCCACGCGTCTTCGTCGGGCAACCATTTACACTCGACACATTTTGGCTGTTTTTGCTAAGGATTTTTTTTTCAGAATCTACACTGAGAAAGATACAGGTTTTCTTACGTTTCCAAGTTGCAAGGACGTGCTGCAGATGACCATGGTTTGTGAGTGTTGCAAACAACCGACCAATCCAGTTGAACTTCCGTCTTTAACCCCGCCCTTGTATAGCAGAATCTCCGCCCTGGTTTGAGAAAACGCGCAATTTGATTGGACCCGAGAATCCCAACCACACCTCTTTCTCAACCAGTTACCTTCTATCACCGAAAGCAGGATGACAGTACCTGCCCTGAATGTAAATACCCCATAGAACCGGCTTTGAAATGTTTAAATATTTGCTGTCTAGACAGTGTTTAAGGTCTATAAATGAAAGAATAGCTTCTATAATTATGTGTTGTCACATTGGTATATGTCTGAATATCAAAACCAGTTGAGAGAGAAATATGAGATGTTTATATATAAACGTTATCATTTTCTTGGTCTGGAAAATGTCAAGCATGCCTCGGGCATGCTTGACCAGATGAATAATTTATTTTTTTTTTCTTATCAGATTTGAAGGAGAAATATTGGACGAGGGAAGATAGATTCCTGCCTCGTTTTTATTCACATTCATTCAGTTCTGCACACTGCTTTTGCTAATGGGCAGACACAGTCTATATCTTTTTAATGATTGGGTTTAGAGGCTCAAGGATGCCTTCAGTAGGCCAGTTCTAGTGCTCACTGCAGCCTGCAATCCCATTAAAGTAAGCTGCTACTATTTTCAGCCTCTAATCGAGTTTTAGCGCTTGACTATTCATGCCTGGACCAGATCAAATTCAATCCATTTCTCTGCAGCAGCAAATAAATAAAAATTGGATGAATCTGTCTCAAGTAGGCTAATTCATTTTTTTGTGTAAGCTTTATGTCAAGTTTAGTGTTTGTACAGTTTATATGTCTGCACACCGACAGGATTTATGTGAGGAGAACTGAACTGACACCTTTGGAGTGTGAAACGGGGATAGATCAAATCAACGTTTTGAGCGTTGTCTAAATTTAAACATGTTAACTTAAATAAAAAAAAGAACCAGACGCAGAGATTGAGACTTTCTATATGATTTAGGCTACTTTAAGTACGAATAAATTACCTTAACATTTACGGAATTTAGCCTACATTCTCTAATAAATAGCACATGCAGATATTTTGATGAAATATATAATTGTATATGTTCTCCAAAAATAGAGCAATTACAATGCAACAAATCTGAGAATATAATAGGCCCTAACACTTCCCTAATCACACTGCATATTAAAAAAATAAATAAAAATTGCTGCCAATTAACTACAAACAACTTGAATGTTGAAGTCATTTGAACATTAATCTGACTCCAAATAAAATTAGTTGAATCTTGTATAACTAGAAAATCTTATTATGATGAGTCAAAGCAATGTAAAAACATATGATGTCATATCTTGATCCTATTTTTTACAGTGACAAATTAATCGGCCGTGTTTAAAATGCACCCATCATTGACATCACTCACTTCTGTTTCCCAGAAAACAGGCAGAGCTGGGACCTGAATAACCATTTGTGGTCTTTGCTTTCATCAGTCTGTCTGCGGGTCTGTCACAAGATACCGTGCACAAGGGCATCTTGCAGAAGGACAAGAGCGAGGGGGCTGCTCAGAGGACTGAAAAGCCAGCTATGTTCACCATAGCTCACAATGTTGTTCTGTCTGCCACATCTGCGTCGTAGTTGCTTGATAGACTTCGCCCCAGGTGATGCAATCAGTTTGGTGTTATTTCGCTGTTCAATGATTCAAGAAGAGGATATAGGTCCTTAGTTCTAGCTTTAACGCAAATTATAAATATTTGCAAGCTTGATGTGGCATTAAAAACTACCAAGATACATTCCCTTCAGCTGCTATTGTAATGTTGCATATCTCAACGCTTGCCGGCGTGGATGTTTCTGAAATAAAGCAATTAATTCAATCTCTCCATGGCAACAGTATGACTGACAATGGTTTGAAATAGGCTGCAGCAAATAGCACACTGTATGTAGCCCTCAAGGTTAAAGATGTGAAGGGCATGATTTCACGAATCAAGAATGCTTAAAACGCAAGCCTTTGGAAAGCAAAAAAAAATGATCTGTGCTTGGTAGAAGAGAGCAAGTTGCATCATTAGGGTAGTCTGACTAAATCAGAGTCTTGTCAGCTCTTCAACCCAAATTCCAAAGTTCCCATCGACAGATCCCATCCTCAGCAGATCTTTGCCACATTTTCGGCCCATGATGGTTAAACAGTGAGCCATGTTAGAAGAGGGATTGAGGTACACTTACTGCAGTGTCATAAACCATGTGCAAACACTGCAACAGCTGGGAAAGGACCCCTCCCTCTTGTTCCTCCAATGTTACACTGACAAAACACACACACACGTGCACACTCACGTATTCACACACACTCCTCCCTTTCCATCTTTCCTGATGCGAGGCTTTAAGCTAAGCCCATGTCAGCGCATGCAGAGGGGGGACAGCTGGGAAGATGACCATGCAATTCAGCAGCATACAGCCAGTCTGCCTCCCTCTCTCTCTCTCTCTCTCTCTCTCTCTCTCTCTCTCTCTCTCTCTCTCTCTCTGACCTTCCTCAGTTTCTCACATTGATTCCCCTGCGGTCCTTTTTCAGGTTCTCGGTTTCAATGCAAATCTTCAAGCTCTTTTCCTCAGGCCTCTGTCTCTCTCACCGGTTCTTTTTCAAACTGTCCTTTATCTGCGTTAAAGGGGTGAAGCTTTAGTGTTGGTGTGCATTGACTGCTAGCGGTATGTGGCACATGCCCAGGCCATGTGACTAAGGGCTTTGGCCATGTGAGAACTTCTGCTTTGGCCTGGCAGCGGAGAGGAGAGTCACAGTGCAAGAGGATAAACAATAACACACATAGACACTCACACACACCAAGCGCAATGCAACAAGACAGGAGTACAATGACAGTTTTGTTCTTGCACTGAATAGGCTATCCACGTCATGAGTCATGCACAGAGCAACAAAGCTCTGCGCAAGACAAAATCTTTAAATTGATATGCTTTGTATGAGTCCACCATATATTGTATTTACTGGAATGCACAGGTCATGATAGATTCATTTGGTTTTACTGTTGGTTATCTTTCAGCTCATGAATCATTGAAAATGTCTTTCCAAAAAATCTCTTGCTGTGACTGAATATCCTCAAAGCCTCATTTGCATTTGTGTCAAATTAAATGTACTGTAGCATCTCCAAGTTTACAGATCCCTTGAACACTATCAGATTCTCTGCACTCAAATGATAGAGCAAATCAGATAATTCGATCAGAAAATGATAGACAGCATTTATGGGACTTGTCTTGTGGCCATAAAAAATCAATTTAGAACTTGGATGGGTCAGCGTAGAATTTATTGAGCACCGATTCGCTTGAGAGCATGCAACCTTTTTTAAACTAATGTAATGAAACAATTTGTTATCTAAATGTTGGCTTCCCATTGGTTGGTTCATTATGAAACTAACATTCCTTTCCAAAATAAATACTTAATTGTTTACTTGTATGCAATACAAATAAATAGCTAATTATATCAAAGCTACCTGGAGCACTTCACTGTCCCTGTTGAATCCGAGCACTCATTTCCTCTAGTCTAGATGGTCTAATCAATGGAGACGGGCCATTTCTCTATTCTTTACACCTGAGTGGGTTTCCCAGACCTCAGGCTCAAAGCTAACACAGCAGTATTGTACATCTAAGTTCACGTTAAGCCAGGGCAGAGTATTAAACCTTGCAGAGAGCGTATGTTGAGTCAAAGTTAGATGAGACATCATGTTGAAAAAGCGATAATCCATCTGTCTGTGTGAATGTTTTATTTAAGTAAAAAAGGAAAGTGAGAGATGTGTTGTACTGTTTCAGCCTGCCTCCGAAAGTGCTGATATTGTCTAATTTCATTCAAGAGGAAAGCAATGATTTCTGTGAGTGTTAGCCACACACCTAAGCCCGAGGCTCCCAAACTGGCTTGCATTCCCATGGTTTTCCTGTCTTGCTTCGACTAGAGTGTGCTTGTGGCCTCCTTTTACTTTTGGTAAGAAGTAACTGCGAGAAACTTGAGTTTGAATACATGCACACTCGGCACATTTTTAGTTGAAAGGTAACATGCACATGATACTGATATGATATGATATATGTTTTTTTTTTTTTTAAACATGAAATATGGCAGCATTTTCTGAACTCAGATTTGCCGTTTTATCAATCAAAAGTCATTATAGATTTTTTTTTAACATTATAATGTTTATTATTTTCCATTCATTGATAATTAACACCCATGCACATAGTTTTCTTGGCTGACTACTAAATGCAGACTAAAGGAGCATAAGCCAGACAGCGTGTGCTGTATTATCAGGGTTGAGTGCGCGAACACAACAGAAATAGCTCAACGGAAGCACTGCTGTCTGCTTGCTTTAGTCTACAGATTACACCTGCAGGAGCACTCGTGTGGTGTGAGAACTGATTACACACGCGCTAATGGACTGCATATAGTGCGGAATTATGGCACATGTATGGCCATGTAGATTTATGACTGCGAACAAAAAAACAACAATTGCAAATCAAGATCCTATAAACCTGGACTTCAAACTTAGATTTGAGTCTATGGCCCAAGAAATGTCTACTATTTTGCATGAGTGTTTGTGCATAATCTATTGTGTTTAAGTGGTTGGCTTGGTCAAAGGTCTTGAATTGATCTTGTCAAGAACTGGTTTTGCCAAGAACCTGGCAAGGTCTGGGCTGGGATATTTAATAATGAAAGGGTGGGAATTATGCATGCACAAAATTAAAATAAATAGTAAGTAAGCACAAACAATTAGCTTGCGTATTTCTGAACCTTTGACCCTCAGATCCGAGAACAATGGGATTTCAGCTGCTGTCAGCTTTATCTCTAAACCACCTTCATTATTCATCAGACTTTCGTAATCACTTATTCATGGCCCACATAGATCCTGGGAGCTTTAATTTCTCTCTCTGAAAGGCCTTTGATTTATAACGTGTGTCCTTACCTCTGTGTGTTTTACT